CTACTTCTTCTACTTGTACTACTTATTATTCTTCTTCCACTCTTCACACGCACGGCAGCGGCGACGCGATCATCCAGAGAAGAGAAAGGGCTCTCCTCACAGACCCAGGACCCTTCAGCCTGTTCTCGATGGCATGCAGGGTGCCTGCGGGAAGCGTGCAGCTGGCCGCGACAAAGCATAGGGACGGAGGAGGACAGTGGATGAGGAAGGAGGGAGGGCGGAGGAGGAGGAGGAGGATCATCGGGACCGTAGCTATTTGCCTCAGAGGCTCCACAGAGGGCCGTGCTAGCAGAACACTGCGAACTGTACACCGGCGCTGAGTCTACGAAAAAAAACGTTGGAAGGAGAGAGGAAGAGGATCATCTCCGCGCCATCCGCGGGCAACCTTGGAGTGGAGAGAGACGAGATGGTGCAAGGCTGGAACACCGCGAGCAAGAGGAGAAGCGGCGGAAGCGGCGGCAGCGACGACGACAACGACGACGACGACGACGACGACGACGACGACGACGACGACGACGGACGCGGAAGGTATGGGTCGACCAGTCCACTATCGCTCTGGGCAGGTTTCCGAGCCCCTCTCAGACACCATCCTGACGAGTTTCCGCGGCTGCCAGCAGTGGCCACAATGGCTCCCGAGGCGGCTCGGGGTGCCAAAAACGAACAACAGAACGACAAACACCACCACCACCACCACGAGGGCGGCAACGGTGGCAGCGACGACGACGCCGCCGCCGTCTGCGACGACGACGGCGGGAGGGGCCGCGAGGGACTCTGACGCTCGCTCGGGGCCCCGCCCTCGCGCGGAGGGGAGGCCCGCGGGAGGCTCGCCAGGCTGGCGGAGAGCAGGTCGTGGCTGTCGTCGCTGATGTCGTCGTCGTAGTCCCAGGCAGCCAAAGGGTGTGACTCGATCTCCACCTCGATCTCTAAAGACTCTAAAGATCTCCAACTCGATCTCCACCTCGAAACCAGTTTCTCCATCAGACTCGATCTCCGCCTCGACTCCGGAGGCCGATCTCGGACTCTGGGAGCCCGTTGTCCTCGACCTCTGGCTCCGAGAGCCGCTCTCGAGGCCCGGGCACATCAGAACTGGGCCCCTGGCGGAAAAACCGAGGGGAGAAGGCAGGGACCCCTGGGGTCGCGGGATGAAAAAATGCATCGTCGGATATCTGTGATCCTCGTCGTCAGCGTCGTCGTCCTCGTCGTCGTGATCGGAGCCGTCGTCGGACACGTAGTCCAGGCCCTGGGCACAAGGGCCTTCTGCTGATCGGGATTCCTCGTATGATCCTGATGTTCCTCGTCGTCGTGGGTGTCGTCGTCGTCGTCATCGTCTTCATGGCCGTCGCCCACAACAGGACTGGAACTCGACAGGACCAGCCCGCTGAGAAGACGCGTCTTGGCGCATCAGGACGACAGGCAGGAGGAAGGAACTGGGAAGGGAATCGCGACGGCCAGTCTATGTTTGCGCCTTGGAAGTTGGCTTCGAAATCCTGGATCGTCGAAAACTTCCAGGGATGGCGAAAAATATGCTGCGGAAAGAGTCGAGAGCTCATGGGGCCCGTGTCACAGAATGCATGGTGACGTCGGGCTGGAAAGGGAAGAGGAAGATGGTGCGGAGGAGTAGGAGTGAGCACATGGGGCTATGGAGCGTAGATGGAAGAGGACGACGGCGAGAGGACTGGTCTGAAGGTACTCTACTACCACTCCCTGATCTCAAAGCAGTTTGCCCCGATGCGTTGTGGCAGAACCATCGTAAAATCGTGACGGCAAGGCTCTCGCGAGATCGTTGATATCTGATACTACATGAGAGCAGTTATACTTTACGGTTGCACTGTCCAGGCTCAATGACGAGACTCGGAGACACACACACATACTCTCGAAACCCGTAAGAGCAGCAATGCGATGGGGAAAATGCATCGGTCATGATGCGACACTTTACGCAATGGGCGACCTTCCTGTCCATACCCCGTGGACCTTAAGCTCAACATGCACCTTCGATCTTAAGTACACCAAAAGCTTCTGAAGACATCCAGGGACGCCCGTACAAATCCGCAGACCTCTGTGCGAGAAGGGATGGTGAGTGAGCAGGATAAGGAGGAGGAGGAGGACTACAAGGAGGACGACGACAATATGCGGAAGTTCGACATCACATTGAAGCCCAAGAGAAAAGGTTCGCTAATGCCCCCGCTGGAGGCCGGGGAGGCATGGCGGACGCCTCGCCGAGCGAGGGCATCTCTGGGCATAGCTACCCGAGCCGCCGTCCGTGACCCGAGCCTACAAGGCTGAGCGCGGACATGACCCTGACTGCTCGAGATCATGGATAGACAGTCGCTGGTAAAAAACAAACAAGCATGAAGAGCAGTGCCTGCCGATCCTGCCCGGCATTCAAAACCGATTCGATCGGACTCAATACGAGCCTAATGCTGCAAACAACTGCAAAACCAGTGTCACAACGAGGAGCCAATGGAAACAACTGTTTAGGCATACGGCCTGGTTTGGCATT